AAAACTATATTAATTTAATTTTTTATATTATGTTAATTTATATTTTTTATTTATAAAAAACTTATGTCTCATTTTAATTTATATTTTTTAGGATTAAATATGTTTTTAATCCCTTTAAATATGACAGTTTTTACGTCTACTCCCTCTAATTTTTTTTAAAGAATAATCCTCTTAATATTTTTCATTCACACTTTTAGTCTCTTCGGGTAACGGTCATTAATAAAAACGGGCGTGGCATGCAACGTTTTATGACAGAACATACACGTGACAACGTAACAGTAGCAAAATAAATACTAACATAATTGCCATGTGTCACTTTCTTCCATTTTTATTTTTTTATTTCTATTCTAATTAAAATTGTAGCGATAGAAAGACTCTCGCCAAATTCATCATTAATATGAACGTCATGCATCAATCCAGAATTTGTAGCTAATGTATAACTAATTTCTAACTAATCCCTAGATAATCTTAAGCTAGTTTAAATACGTCATTTTTATGACCTAAACTTTGTTTTTTTTTTCATTATTTTTTGCATTAAAACTAAAACCTTATAAGGATCTATCCACAAAAATTAAAATTTTTTTTATTTGACATGAATTAAATATGAATTTTTTAACGTCGATTTTCTATGAAACGGAAACAACACAAACGTTGGCATATGATTGAATTTTGAGCTAATCTTTTGTAAAGACCTAACTCATATCACATAAAATGGATCTGCAAAGTTTCATGAAATTTCGAATAAATATCAATTTATATTGATTTTTCGATAGAAGCACGTATAAATCAAAATAAATTGAAACTTATTCAAAATTTCATGAAACTTTGCAAATCCATTTTATGTATTATCAGATAGGTGTCTGCAAAATATTATTTAAAAATTTAATCATATGCCAGCGTTTGTGTTCTTTTCGTTTTATGGAAAATCGGGAAAAAGAATTCATATTTAATTAATCTAAAGTTAAAAAAATTCAATTTTTGTTTGGGAATTCTTATAAGTTTATAGACTTTTATGAAAAAAACAAATTTTACATCATAAGAATGATGTGTTTAAATTAGGTAGAAATTAACTATAAATTATAAATTTATTTATAATTTTCATTTTAGCTATAAACTTTTCATCGCTATAATTTAAATTAATATAAAATAAAAATGTAAACAATTTCACAGCATCCACAAGCATTTTTTCTATCACATTTGATATTACCACATATATGTCTAATCATAAAAAATATTTTACGCGATATTATCATGTTAAGTTCTGTTAACGATTGCTAATTGAAAAGATTACAATTGTGGATAAAAAATATTAAAAAATCATTTTTTCAAAAAAAAAATTAAAGAGACTCAAAGTTAATATAATCATATTTAAATAGACCAAAAATATATTTAACCTATTTTTTTAATAAACCAAGCAACTCGCAAAAAGACAAAGCGGTTGTGATTTTTGACCTAAACCACTTTAAATAAGTAGCTTAAAATATTACAAACATTTTGACAAAACAATATAGCATACTGTTATGTTTTTCTTTTAATAAAACATATCCTATATAATAAAATAAAATAGATTGAACGTAGGGTAACTGGATTATTTTTAATTTTAAAAATAATATTGTTATAGCTCCTGACCCTTATTAAAAAAACATGTAAAATCTATATTGTCAACGAAATGGAAACAAAATCTTACACGTCGGCGTGGGATAACTTAATTAAGTCATTGATTGTATTATTGACATGACATTATATTTTTAATACAGATCATGAGTTAGTTATGAGCAACACTCATAAATTCAAGTGAAAATAATAACATAGTGGTACACAATATATATATAGTTTAGTTATTTTAAAATATATTTTCTAATGAGTAGTTATTCATTTGACTAAGCGGACAACAGATATGAAAAGTCTTCGAGATACGCGCCTTCAATCAACTATAACTGTTTTTAATTTTATTTTTAAAAAATGCTAAGTTATTAATTTTGTTGGTGTGTCAACAAATAGAAAAGTATATATTATTTGGCTTTTTTTAAAATTTTTTAAAATAAAATTTGGACGCCCTACTGATCGGTTGAGTCATCCGATTAATAAAAATCTCTTTAATATCTTTTTAATTAAAATAGTGATGTCTTATTCCCTCAAGTGAGGTGTCAACCGATAGGTAAAATAATATTTATTCTCTTGGTTGAGCCATCCAACCGATAGGGAAACTCTAACAATATTATTTTTTAAACAAACGGCATTTTCAAAACAAAATGTTATTTTCATCTTCTCTTTCAAAATCGAAATAACTCTATACCGAATCTTCATTGTCTCCATTGAAATTTCATCTTCTCCATTAAACAACTCAAAACTTCATTTATTCTGTAAATGAAACTCGAAAAAACACCACTTCTTCCATAATGAGTTTTGAAACTTCATTTCTTCCATAAACGGCTTCGAAAATTCATCTTCTCCTCTTGAACGCGATTAATGCAATTGTTGCCACTCGAAAAAACTTGAAATGAAGGAAAGATATTGAAACTCGAACGAAGCAATGAAAGGAAACAAAACTTCCTCCACCATTGTCTTTATCTTTTTCATCACGTTTCCGATAGTAAATGCTATATCCATGCATGTGCATTAGAAATGTTAGTTGTTTTTGTCGTAAAAGTTTTAATGTTTTTATTGTTGTTGTTTAAATTTAAGGTTCAACAGATCTAGTGGTTTTGTTGTTGCTGTTGTTTATGGAGATGTTGTTATTGTTGCTGCTGCGAAGTAAAATATTACTACAACCATGCATGTAACTTAGCACATGTAAAGGCATTTTCTCCTAGCGAAAATGAGTTCACCTAGAGAAAATGTTAGTTGTTGTGTTGAGTAAAAAGTTTAATGTTGTTGAGATTGAAAGTTTAACAATTTTATTGGTTTTGTTGTTATTATTATTGTTGTCGTTGTTGTTGTGTTAAGTAAAATGTTTAATCTTATTGTTGTTTTTGTTTTTGTTGTTGTTGTTGTTGTTGTTGAGATTGAAGGTTTAACAATTTTATTGATTTTTTTGTTGTTGTGTTGAGTAAAATGTTAAATGTTATTGTTGTGTTAACTTATCATAGTCTTACACCTCTTTAGTAACAAATATATGTTGAAATATTTTTGAAGAAATATGATTTATAATTTTAGTGCATGTAGGTGTCATGTCTCACTTCAATATTTGACTTTTATTTTAAAATTTAGGTGCGTGCATTGTTTTTGTAAAGAAATAAACAAATCTGATATGTATGGATTCCTAGACCCCCTACAAAATTCAATATTTATGGCGTCAATTAAACGATATTCAAGCCTACCTACAAAATCAGTTATTATATTGAATAAAGTTTGTCACTTAGCATCATTTATGTGTGTGTGACTATATATTAATTTGTAGTTTCTCTTATTTAGCATGCAATTTTGTATCAATTACTAAATATTTTTATATTGATGCAGTTATCATTGACAATTAATAATTATTTATTTTAGGAAGAATAACAACATAATTATATTATATTCGATAGGCAGGGGAATTTATTCAAAGATAAAAGATATAATTAGCATATGTTTATATTTTACGTGACTTCGTAATATTTATTTATAATACTAAAATGTACCCTTTATTTTTGAATATTTATGGTTAACGTTTAATTTTTTAACGTATAGAGCTATGGAGGGATACCATTTGTTGCATGATGCTAGAAAAAAAATTCTAATTTATTATCCCTAAAGTAAGTGGTACTAATTCTGACATTCATTTATATCTATGATAACTTACTTTTTTTTTAATGTATTATTACTCGTTATATAAAATTTATTTGTAGATAAGTCAACAACCATCAAGCCATGAGTATGGATATTGTGTGATGAAACATATGTTGAATATTGTATATGTCGGTATTGTTGATTCATGGAAGCATGTAATATATTTATAATTATATATTAATTATTTTTACCGAATAATAGTTTGGTATTATTTTAATTATTTTTACATTTTGTTCAATTTATAGGTATTTAGCGAATGAACAACATTCTTAGAAGAAGACTTATATGTTTTAGATCTGTTCTTTACTTCATGTATCTCTATCCATATAGAAATCAAGAACATAATCTTGAACCAATCTCTATGAGATCATATCATATGAAACCATACCCAAATACAATATGAGATTGAAAGCGGAAGCATACTTGAGTTTTTCATTAGAATTGTTGACGATTTGCAGGTACACGATCTTCCATAGTGT